CGTATCTACCTTTCCCTAACCAATGACCAGAAGCAAACCATTTTGATCCTAATCGTAATACAGAATTTGTGATTCCATCTGAATTATTTGTTTACTGGTTCCGTGCAGGACATATGAGTGGTGTAGAAGAAGATTATACATTAAAGTTTGACCCTATAGATTCTTCAGGCTCAATCTCAAAGTTCTCTGACGAGAGATTCTCTACAAAATAGAAAAGTGGAAAAGAAAGAGAAGTGCGGTTTGACTTACACCCAAGGTCCAAAATATTGGTGATATCAGAAATATCGGTAGTCTAAAAACACGGAAATTTCAATGGAAATATCAGGATATTATTGATATCGATAAAAATTGAATAAAAACCACGGAAATTGTAAGAAAAACTTGAAAAAATTTATTGAAACTTTGGAGGATGCTTATTTAGTCAAGTATCTATTAGTTTATCACAAAAAATTGGAAGGAAATACATTGCATGATGGATTTAACTAATTTAAGTTGATTATATAGTGAGCTGACAAACACTATGAGTGTAGAAAATATGTAGTATACTTAATGAAAGAAGATTAAACACACCACAATCATTTACATATAATGATTTACTACAATATTTTACATTTTATACATTGCATAGTAAGATACATAAGTGACTTAATACCACATAGAGTTCCTATGAGGTTCAAATTTTTCACTATCTTCATCTCTATGTGTATTAGGTGAGTGGTTGAATGGTGGGGTAAGTGATATAAGTTGAAACGTGGTGAATAGTTGAAAACTTGAAACTTGAAAAGGGAAGGTCAAAGATTCATTCTCATGTAAAAAATTTATACTTGCAAAAAGTGTTTGTGTTAATACTAGAAACAACATTCTTCCCTCTTAGGACATCACTTTGAAAGCAGCAAGGGTAAACAGTGCAGAATGGCCCCCATTTTTATACAAATTAAGAAGAAATTGGTTTCAAGAGTCTCATTTTTATACGTCCCAAAAAAAAAAATGATATACATGTGTGAACTTTGTCAAAGTAAGAATTGTAAGGTCCATTATTCCTTGCCTGTCCATGTCTCAATATTCATAAGAAAAAAGAACTTACCCCACTTGGACGCCACAATACAAAGCAAACCAAGGATGACTAATTTTACAAGAGGAAACACCTTGAATCCCCTTTGTGTTTTTTTCCATTTTTTTTTCCTTTTTTTTCCCTTTTTTTCATTACATCGATATTGTCGATATTTTAGCAATATTATAGCAATATTGTAACAAAATATTGCTGAAATGTGAGCGAAATTATCGACGTCGATATTTTCCGATATTATCGTCGATATTCTCGATATTTATACGATATGTGCATGAATATATTTCGAAATATCCGTGATTCGAAAAAACGATAATATCCTCGATATTTCGTCGATATTATCGATATTTTAGACTATGCTTACACCCAATGCAATCTGTGTTTTTGGGGTCTGATCGTAGATACAATAGATTCTCGAGTATCTATTGTATATGACCCAGGACATAGAAGAGTTTATATCGAATCTTCAGAAGATGGTCACTGGGAGGTGATTGATACATAAGAGGTATTCTGCTGAACTTTTGTTATACGATCAATGTGATTGTAGTACACATTGCTTGACCTTGTTTGTTCAAGGTGGTCGGCCAAAGGAGGCCAGATCACCAGTGGTGATATGGTTAGACCGGATAATTATAAGATCACGATTGCCAGTGTCCTTGCAGCTTGTGCTCATCTTGGTGCATTTGATCCTAGGATATGGGTGCATGGGTACCCGAGGAGAAGTTGCCTGGCGAGTAATGTGGTCATTTTGCGGATGTGTAGACAAAGCGTATGAGGTCTTTCAGGAAATGCCCAACAAGGATACTTTGGCATGGACAACTATGATTTCAGTGCTGGCTCTCCATGGGTTTGGCAATGAGGCTTTTGATATTTTTAAACAGATGGAAACAACTGGGGTGAAGCCGAACCATGTGACATTTGTTGGGCTATTGTCAGCTTGTGCTCATTCTGGTTTAGTAGAGAAAGGTCGCTGGTGTTTTCGTGTGATGAAGCGTGTTTACTTAATTGAACCACAGCTCTATCACTATGCAAGCATGGTTGATATGCTTAGTCGTGCCGGGTTGATATGCTTATAAGAAGCATGCCAATGAAGACAGATACATTTGTTTTGGGTGCATTGCTCGGAGGCTGTCAAATACATGGAAAGGTCGAGTTAGGAGAAAGGGTGGCGCAATATTTAATTGATTTGGAACCTCTGAACCATGCTTTTTATGTGAACTTGTGTGATATATATGTCAAAGCTAGTAGATTTGATGACGTAAAGAGAATCAAATCCTTAATGAAAGAAACAGGGATAAAAAAGGAGGTCCCGAGCTGTAGCATGATTGAAATCGATGGGGTTCTTCTTGAATTCTATGTGAGAGGATCACCAGATGTAAATTGTAATGGAGGAAGTATTATTGGTCTTGTATAACTTGAATAACGATATCTAGACAGAAAGGCATGCGCTTTACAGAATCACTCTAATGAGAATCATGAAAAGACAGTTAGGGTGTAGTTTTCATGAGGAAAGGCAGGTGTCTACTTGTTTTCAATGAAATGTTTCATATGTAAGACCATGAGAGCTGTAATTTTGCTATCTGAGAAGTTAAGCACTGTCATCAAGCAAGCACCCTTATGGAATGAATTCACTTGCTGGAAGAAATTCCTCGAGGTATGCTCTATTATTCACTCTGTGCTCGACTTTTGTCTTCAGTGTCATGGATTTTCTTTCCACTCCGTTACGTCCCATAGCAATAAGTTTAGCTACAATTATGATCAGTCCCATGCTAGAAAATTGGGTACTGAGAGCAAAAAGAGATACCATCCTGTTGACACAAACTTCTTAAACTACTCTAATGAACTTCTCTAGGCTGCACGACTACATGACTGAGTTTGGATACAAACTGTGCTACAAACAAACAAAAAGGGAAAATTTGGTGCTGTAACAAAAACCCAAAAAAAAAAAAAAAAAAGAAGAAGGAGTAGAGAGGCCATTCGCATAGCCCCCTCTCAGATGATTTCTTCATCATGTGTTTTGGGTGCATATGGACGAAAAAAAGAAGAAGAAAAAGAGCCATAAAAAATAAGGAGTCGTTCTATGGTGAGGGTGTCACTGTCATATATGAACCATAGATGTGTGGACCTTTATATTAGTCACAAGATTCATTTGAATAGTAACTTCACTTAAGTTTAATGAAATGATCATGTTGCTAATATGAAGGTCGACATGAGGGGTCTATATATGGCACCTACACTATAGAATTTCACCCAAAACAGAGGAAGCAAGAAAGAGATTGACGCCTCATTGCTCCATTGGGTTGATTTCCAATTACAAAGTGGATCATATTGCCTACTTTGACTGAAGGAAAGGAGGAGGTGTCATTCTCGGACACTTTTGGTGATGTTTCAAGAAGGCTACTGATCAATCCTTGTTCATGTGCTAACTGATAAAATGTCAAGAGCCCGAAAACAAATTAATGGGTTGTCTATAAAATTGCCCATTAATTTCCAAATCATGAAATGTTTAACGGGTTATTCAAATAAATACTCATTAAATTTTCGGCAGTTGAAATTCCTATTATATGGTTAATGGATCAATTTTAAATCCTGAAAGCCATGTTTTCTTGGTAGTCTCACTGTTTGCTCTGCATTATGTATATTCATTGCTATTTTCTATGTCCATGGAGCTTTGAAACATTGGTACAATTTATATTGGTATGACCACATCAAATTTGAATAAACCCCACAATTTGAACATCAAATCCAAAATGAGTAAAAACAAAAAAACAAATAGCTAAAACAATTTACATTTCACTGAGACATGAAAATTCCTACGGGTTCAGCCTTGAAGTTGAATTTAGTTGGACAAAAAACAAATAAAATAATACTAGTAAACTAGACAAACTAAGGGAACTGGAATGAGCCCCCAATTTGATTAGTGCCTGATGGGGGGCTGATAGCCACCCAAAGGAGAGAAATGGTGATTGCCATAAGGCCAGACCACACAAACACAATGGTGGGTGTCTTCCCTCTTCTTCCCATGAGCCCTTTGGCAAACGGATACAAATGAGCCAACACCCAGAAACTGAAGAACACACCTCCAAGCAACCGGCTCCACTGCGGTATCACGCTGTATATCGTTCGACAAGTTGCAACTGCAATTGCAATCAAGTTTGTCATCATGATGGTGATGGGTGGTATCATCAGAGACGTCCATTTGAAGATGTAGAGATCAACAAACTCATCATCTGCATCGTCACCACCAGATTTCGATGTCAAAGTGAAGGAAATCTCTACTCCTGCTATCACCTTCAGAAGGCCTTGCAGCACAGCAGCTAGATGAGCACTTGTGCCTCCAATCAACCAAAACTGCTCGTTCCTCCACCACTCTTCCAGTGCAATGCCAGACCACTTGATCTCCAGCACGGCGAGAAGAATGAGGGTGATTGTGATGCCCAGGAGGTATGCCAGGAAGGTTATGTTGAGGGACTGAACAATGAACTGACCAGAAAAGAGGGAGAGCGCGGGAAGGAAGCAGTAGACAATGAGGAAAAAGGAAGTGAAAGGGTACATTCCCACATTCAGGTAAAAGATCCTTTGCAGAATTTTCATCCTTGAGCTGGCCAGAAGAGCATTGTTGCGAGAAAAGAAAATCTCAACAGAGCCAGTAGCCCATCGGAGCACCTGATGCAGCCGGTCAGTAAGATTGATGGGGGCAGTCCCTCTGAAAGCATCCCTCTTTGTAACACAATAAACAGATCTCCATCCACGGTTGTGCATCCGGTAACCTGTCACCACATCTTCAGTTACTGATCCATAAATCCACCCAATTCTCTGGCCCCATTCAGTCTTGTCCTCGTACCAGCATGAGATGACACTGATTGCCTCTGCAACCGTTGATGCATCAAGAAGCTCCCGAGGGAGAGTGAGAGCGCCCGGGGGCCGTCCATGTTTCATGGATGGATGATCAGCAATGGGCCGACCTTGGAATTCTGCCACTCGAATTGAGTCAACAAGGAAGCTTGAGTTTCCAAACTTTTTAGGAACAAGAGCAAGATTCATTTCTTCATCATCACCAAACTCTCCAACTTCAATTGATTGGCAGTCTTGGGAGGCAACTTCAGGGGCAGAAGCAACTGATGAAGAAGATTTCCTTGTGCGACGACGGGCGCAGAAACCACTGCAGCAACAGCAACCATTACGACACTTTTTCACCCGAGGAGGATCAAAGCCATAAAGGGCAGTGCGACGAAAGAGGCATCCAGTTCCTACATACACTGGACCCTGAAGGCCATCAAGCGCACGCATGTTGACATCAAAGAAAACAGTGTTGTGGTTGGCATAGCGATCAGAAGGGTCAATTCCTTCAAACCTCTGAGGAAACTGCACGTAACAAATGCGATCACCACCGCGGTCCATCATGAAGCACATACCTTCTCTCAGTGCTTGGGAGTTGTAGACGTAATGGTCACAGTCAAGGTTGAGAATGAAGGGGCCATTGGACATGACCGCTGAGGCACGAACCAGAGCATTCATGGCACCAGCTTTCTTGTTGTGATCATAGCCAGGCCGCTTTTCGCGAGAAACATAAACGAGCATGGGGAGACGAATATCAACCTCACTTAGGTCCAAGGAACTTGAATCCATTGATGTTCCTCTAAGTGGTTCATCACTAGGAGGTTTCAACATCACCTGCATATGAACATATAACACAATTTAGCTTTCTAGCCAAACCAATTGGCACGTTTAATTAATTTGAAGTGACATCTTGAGACTACATTAGTGAAATTTTACAAGACAAATGGAACTCATATGTACCTGCATGATACTGGCATGATCACCCCTAGAATGCTCAGGCACAGAAACTGTCCAAGTGCCAGGCCAATGGGTTCCATCAGCCATCCAAGTAGCTTTCGGGATCTTTATCTTTTCTACTGCTTCATCATTTCCAATCTCTCTCCCAAGTTTCATAGCCTTCATCTCGTCCCGAGCATTATAGGCATCTGAACGTCTTCGAATTGAATCAGGAAGGCCATTAATCCTAACCTTAAATTCATCATACTCACGCTTCAACCTTCTGCGGTCCTTGACAAAATCTGGCCGTACTTTATTCTTATAAGGATCTCTCTTCAGATTGAAGTACGATTCTGGATTTCGTGGCTCAATAGCATGCTTCCGGCAAAATGGCACCCACAAATTAGCAAAACTAGCAGCTTCTGCCATGGCCTCAAAGGTCAAAAGTGCACCTCCATCATCAGAAACATAGCAAGAAAGCTTCTCAACAGGGTAGTCAGCTGCCAGAATTGATAGAATGGTGTTTGCAGTGACAAGAGGTGGTTCCTTCTCTGGATCTGCTGTTGATACAAAAATATCCATGCCTGGAAGATCAGATTTTCCAGTAGGATTGCTGGGATTAGGTGATTCAAACTTCTCCTTTAGAACATCAAGATTAGTAATGCGATTGATGGGACAGAGCTTTGGAAGCTGATCAAGTAGCCAGGAGAAGGCGAACCAGATTTCACAAACGACAGACATAGCCCACAACCACACTGCATCCTCATTAGGGTTTCTGATTCTCCATTGCAAAAATAGTCCAAGGACAACCATTCGAACTAATATTAGGATCCTGCAAGAATACACCCACCCACCAAAAAGATGTAATTAAGCTTGCAATTAACTTGTTCAAGCAAATAATGGACAATACTGTATAAACAACTCTAGCTAGCTTATATGGAATTACTTCTGCAGCATCAAAATTAACAATATGGAAGAGAAAGCTGAAAGAGTGCAACAAAAAATGATTGGTTAACTTTTAAGCTGAATTCAAACCAAAAAGGAAATTCTTCAAAGCTAATGGCAATGAAGTTACTAATTAGAAGAGTAGTAATGAACTCCGAGGTATATTTTTGAAGCTTAAACTATGTAATGTACTTGGACATTAGGGGACAACTTTGTTATGAATTTCAGAGTTCAAGAACTATGTAACACATCACATCTTAGACTAGCACAATGCAATTCATAATTTCGACACAGTGAAAAGAAAAAGATAGAAGATAAAAACAGTGCAGATGGAAATAAACACTGAGGTAACATTAAAAAACAAAAAGAATGGCAAAGCCCTACCTAAACAAAAACAATGGGAAGACATTAACAGATCAGAGGAAAACAGAGAGCACCAAATGAGGAAAAGAGTTTTACCGATAAGGACTCAGAATTGCAGCAGAGATATTCAGTTTGCGCGTAAGTGGCCTCCATTGCTTGTCATGAAAGACTTTAGGATCACCGCCAATCCCCTCCTGGCTCCCATCCACAGCAACCTTTGGCCATATAGCATTTCCATATCCGTAACTCCCCTTTGTCTCGAACAACCATTTGGTATGATCAAACTCACCGCTCTGACGCCCCATCACTGCTGTTGACTTCATCAACGACAACCTCCTCTCCATCTTCGAAGTGAATGGCACCTGCAGATGCTGCCCATTATTCCCAGCATACTCACTCACATCCAGCTCCTTATAAGGTTCTTTGCAGCCAGGACAAATATGATCACCGGTTCTTATAGCGTCCCTATAACAATCCAAACAGATCTTGTAATCACACTCACACGGGACTATGTCTACTCCCCTCTCATCAGTGACTACCTTGGCATCACAACCGGGCACAGAGCAATTCGACCCTTTCGCACCGGTCATCTGGGGATGGCTAGTTACGGACTCAATCACCTTTTCCTTCAAATGAGCTCGGGTAATGCAATTATAACCGCCGGTAAACAAAGAACTGGAAGCATACTGGTCCTCAACTCTCTGAGAAGTGGACCACTCCATGGACATTCCCATGGGCTGATTATCAGGTGTAGAGGGTATGTGGACAGTGTAGGTTGCAAATTCAACACCCCCAATGTCACTGTCAAGGTCATTGCTAGTTTGGGTAACATGGTGAACCCTAGCCCTAGGAGATCCACCTGAGAAATTGACTGGAGACTCAGAACCCATAAAGCTTAGCACCTTCTAGCACCAGAATCTGAAATTCAAAACACAAGAAGCAAAAGAGCCACATGCTCCCTCTATCAAAAACTGAATGAAGAAGTTCCAAGCTGCTTAGCATAAGACTCGAAATCTAGTACAAAAGACAAAAAGCAATCCCTCTCTTTTCTCTCTGCAATTTTTATGTTCGATTTCGCTCAGAAAGCTGAGACTTAAAATAGAAGAAATATCGAAAAGTACATTTAATTATTCGGATTACGCAAATGATTTCTTCACTCAGTACTCAAAGCAAAACAAGATTGCTAGCAAAAGAAACACAATATTTTCTGTTTTTTGAAACTTCAACAAATGGTATGCAAAATAAAACAGCAGCCAAACTGAATAAACGAATAAGTGATGAACACTTCTCACCTTAAGAGTCAAAACACCAGCTCAAATCTCGTTCACAGAAGAAACCCTTCAGGCCCCGCAAAAAAAAAAAAGCAGTTTGATTTCTTACAGTGTGCGAAGAAGCTGCAGGTTGATGACGTGGAAAACCTAAGAATGAAGAAATGGGTACGCGTTGTTTTTTGAGTTTGGATTAAGACTGTGAGCTGATTTGCAATCCAAATTATGAGGCACAGGCATTTTGGGTTTTGAGTTAGCTTGGCGGACTTTGTCTGCTCGTTTTCTGTTGGTCCCTTATAAAAGATTTTGTTTTGAATTTTTGTCGCTGTCTTTGTTACCGTTGAAAAAGTTTTAATTTTGAATTATTTGACCGTTGCAAAACGAGACCGTTGTGGAAAGACTGTCTTTTCTTTACGACCAATAAAAAGGATAAGGAGATATCGACCCAAATAATTAAGGATAAGGAGATAATTTTTATTCTTTTTCGTTTTTAATACAAGCAATAAGAGGAATGGAGTTTCTTTTTCATTTCTACCAAGGGTGTTATCGGGGTTTGAACCTAAAACTTTTGGTTTGTCAAAACTTAACATCAATAATCTAACGACTTCTAATATAACACATCAAACTTAACATAAAGTTTTGTTTTATTTATTTATTTTTTTCTAGATTGACGATATCCCTTGTTATCTCTATATCTCTTTGTCTCTCTCTCTCTCTCCCTCTTTTTCACTAGACTAGACCCGATTTATTTTATTTTATATTTTTATACTTGGGGTGAGATGGGATGGGATAACCAAATCATCTTTTGCTTTTTCTTTTTAAAGTGGCCTTTCGTAATAAAAATGCTAGCCCTTTTTCTTTCTTGTTTTTTAAGAGACCCACTTTTTTTATATAAAAAATTATTTAAAATGAGGTTTATCACATGTGTCCTTGAATTTTTTTTAAATCCACGTTTTAGTTCTCAATTTTTAAATTTGGTCCCTACTATAGCATTATGACAAAATTTTCATTAAATTTGGTGACATATGATCATCACACATGAACAACTTTAAACGAAAATTTTATTAAAATAGCTTCTTTTAGTCCTAAAATTCATGGTTTTGCAAAAAATGTCATCTTCTCTCCATTTAGGATTTCACATTTCGGTCTATTTAAACTTATTGTGGGTGTTGTACAGTAAACCAAACACGACGGAGAACCTTGCATCAACAAACAAACCAACAAGTGCCGACTTTTTTCTGTTCAAAATTTGGAAATTATTGCAAATCTTATTACTTTTTACTTATCTTGGGCAGAATAATTTCGTACCATTTCGAAGGCTACTTTGTAGCAGCGTAACTCTGACATTTTTAAAAATGTTTATGTTTTCATATACCATTCGAAAGCTTGTGTGACACGATATAATTGAGAAACATTTCATGAACCAAACAGCCACTAATGAAAGTGGTCGGTTTTCGAGGGCGAAAGTAAGCTGCTCACCAACTATTTGTTTCTTTTTGCTGCTGTATCTCTCCGATCTCTGGACCAAATGCCAAAAAGGGGTCTTCTTGAAACCCTTCAAGCAAGTTATTGCTTCCATTGACAAAGAGAAAATTGTGTGAATGCGTTGTTTGATTTTATATTTTTGGAGTCCAATTTGAATTGAGAGATGGCATGAAAAGGAATTAAAAATTAACTGTTTGGTTATAATCAATGTCTTTTTCATTGACATAATCAATTTGCATTGCATTCTGCAATTTTTTATATTTTTTCTTTTTTTTTTCACGAAGTAATAAATGCATCTTCCATTAAGAGGGCAATTATTAATTAACATTATATATACTAATTATAGGATTGACACCATAATTAATGTCTTTTTTTTTATTAGAAAATTAGATATTAACACAACAATGCAAGCACTCATAGGGAAAAACTCATTGGGTTTTTTAGGATCAATGTAGGCCCATTTTTTGGGTTTTTATCAAAATTTTCATTAATTTAATTGATATGCCATATGATATGGACATGCCACATCATGTGGTATAAAAATGTGGGATAATAATGTGATAAGTGTAGCACTCTTATCATATTAATAATCAAGTTTGACTTCTCCCAATGCCCATATTACCGCTAATAATAGTTATAAGCATATGAGCCATACAAATTTCTTCAAATTAAGAGAGAAATGTATATGCAATGTGGGCAACTACTCTTATCAGTGTTGGCAACTAAGGATGGTATGGCATTATGTCATTGGTTCTTGTTAGATAGAGGTGTCAAATTGGCTGGCCCGATTGATTTAGAGTTTGTTCATTTAATAAACGAGTTGTGCCCAGGCCGCCCAATTAGGAAAATCATCAATCCTGACCCGAGCCCATGGCGCGAGCCTAAGGGCCCTAGCTTAAGGGCCATGCTCATGCTGGGCCACTAAACAAGCAAATACGGGCCCACGCCAAATTTGACTTATATATTGCTTCTTCTTTTTCTGTAATTTTTTTTTACAACTTCATTTAAATATTTTTTACAATTATGTATATACTAATAAGATTTATTATTTGTTTTTTTTTAAAAAAAAAAAGTCAATAACTTTATTTACAGTACATTTAAATAGAAAATGGCTAGATTTTTGTTTGAGTTTTAAAAATTGAAAATGAAAAACAAAATTATTATTTTATATATAAATAAAACATTAAATTTTAACATATATTATTAGAGAAAAGAAATAGACTTGAATTCAACATATAAATATTATAATATTATGTATGATTTTTCTATAAAACAAGTATAATTTCATAAATGAGCTTTAAACGGACTGGCCCCGCCTATTGGACATAATTACCTCATCCCGGCACAGCGGCACGGCCCAAAAATACAGTCCATTTCGTGCGGGGCCTTACTTAAGCTGGTCGACTCGGTCCATTTGACACCTCTATTGTTAAAGCATCTTCAATAGCCTCTTCAACAGCTTTGGAATGCTAAAATAAGTGAGCCACATCAACAAAACTCCCTCCAATAGACTTGTCAAACTCAGTCACCAAAGCTGCAACCTATGTCTCTCTCTTCAAGTCTGACATATTGACCTTGGCTCTTCAAAACATTTAATTTTTCTTTGGAAGAACAAAACCTACATTGAAAATGATAAAAACCTACACTTTTTCTTTTCAAATAATAAATACATAGACTTTCTTCACATATTTTTGTATTTTTCCTTCTTCTTCTTTTCCAATAATATTGCGTTAATTGAATTGAGAGACTATTGGGACACAAATTATTAAAGTAGCAAATAAACCTTTCCAAATTGCCACATAGGTCAACAAACTTTAATTTGAAGAATTTAATTTGCTACTACTATTGGAGATGCTCTTACATGGTCATCTATTTGACATGGCACGATAGTTATGGGCACACGAGCTGTATACTTTCTTTATATAACAAGAAAAACTTACCTTTAACATCGGTAATTACTCTTGTCAAGGTTGGCGATTGATAATTAAATGGCTTTATGCCATTGGTCCTTGTTACGTGGTCGTATATTTCACGTGACACAATAGTTATAAGTACACGAGTCTCACGATTTTTTTTCCAAATTACGAGAGTGTATCACCTGAAGAAAGACACAGTGTCTATGACAAGACTTTATGTCATTGGTCCTTATTACCTGGTCGTCTATTTTACAAGACACAGCCGTTACAAGTCTCACGATTTTTTTTTCCAAATTACGAGAATGTATCACGTGAAGAAAGACAGAGTGTCTATGACAAGACTTTATGTCATTGGTCCTTATTACGTGGTCGTCTATTTTACAAGACACAACAGTTATGAGTCTCACGATTTTTTTTTTTCCAAATTACGAGAATGTATCACGTGAAGAAAGACAGAGTGTTTATGACAAGACTTTATATCATTGGTCCTTATTACGTGGTCATCTATTTCACAAGACAACAGTTACGAGTCTCACGATTTTTTTTCCAAATTACGAGAATGTATCACGTGAAGAAAGACAGAGTGTTTATGACAAGACTTTATATCATTGGTCCTTATTACGTGGTCGTCTATTTCACAAGACACAACAATTACTAATTGCACGATTTTTTTTCTAAATTACGAGAGTGTATCAAATGAAGAAAGAAACGAATTGTATGACATGGATTTAGGTTATTGGTCCTTGTTACGTGGTCATATATTTAAAATGACACAATAGTTATAGGCACATGAGTTGTACAATATTTCCAAATTACAAGAGATTGTATCATGTGAGAAGAGAGATAGAGACATAGGTTATATATACACCCACGAAAGTTATTTCTCAGATTAGGCACCACACACTCTTCGCATCACCCTGTCTCTGGAGTCTAGACTCTAGAGGTGGACTGTTGAAGTTCATCTTGCAAGGCGCCTCCTCTGCTCCGCCAATATCTTTTGTTTCTTGCAATCTCATTGGCATCAGGTACATCCTTCTTTATTGTTTATTCTTTTATTAATGTTTTAATTTTGCTGGATGGTTTCATGGCTGATATTGGTCATACTATTGATCGCGTTCATGGGAGCAATCCCAACTTCGGATGTTTTGATTTATGTTTTTTTATATTTTATTTTGTTTCGTTGAATGGATTCATGCTCCCCAAAATGTGGGTTTATACCATTTTTTTTAAATGATTCTAATGTTCATTTTCATTAATTATGTTGAATGTATTAAAAATTCGGTTTTTCAGAATTTTTGTCTTTCTTTCATTATTTATGAATTGGGTATGACAGAAGTTTATGAAGAATGTTGATTTTTGTACAGAAGTTTATTAAGAATGTTGATTTTCTACAGAAGTTTATTGAGAATGTTGATTTTCTGCAGAAGTTTATTAAGAATGTTGATTATCTGCAGAATTTTATTAAGAATGATTTTCTATGGGTTTTCATTCAGATTTCCTACAAAAGTCTTACAGCCTTGCTCTAGGTTTATCAAGTTTTCTATTTATAATCTGAGATTTCAGGGCACTTATGTCCCTTACTAGGTATTAGATCTTCTATTTGAAGTGTTTTTTAACTTTTTGGTCCCTCAAGAGAAAGGGTTGTTGTCCAGGATGAGTTCAAGAAGAGGTGGTGGAAATTCCAAAGGGAAGGAAGTTCGTGACGTCAATAGCCCGAAGGTTAAGCAGTTGAGCCATGGTGTAGCAGACATTAGCCTGGACTCGGCACAAGACGATGGAGAGTGGGCGGTAATTTCCAGAAAATCCAAGAACAGAGCTGGTAGCAGTGCTGCAAAACAAGTCCAATTGGGTCCTCAAAATTCTAATTATAAGGCGTGGGCACCGGCACATGATGCTCAGAAGCCAAGTATGCGAAATGGAACTGGTGGTTCACAAACTGCTAATTCTCAAAAACCAGCTGGAGGAAGAAATGCAAGGCAGCAGCCTAACAGTACAGGTGGTTTTGGAAGCAACTTTTTGGCCCGGCAACATTCGATTCCCCCTCCCCTGGACCATGGATGGAATTGGCAATCTAGACCTGGTAAAAAAGACAACAATGTGGCTGCTGCTCTCGCTGATGATAATGATGATGACAACTCTGATCATATGAGCGATACTGATGAATACGATGATGAGCTATTCAGTGATGAGTTTGACTCGGATTCAAGTGAAAAGAGTCACGGCACTCGGAAGCAAAATAGATGGTTCAAGAAATTCTTTGAAAATTTGGATGGTTTAAGTGGGGGTGAGATTGGTAATCCTGATAGACAGTGGCACTGTCCTGCATGCAAAGGTGGTCGTGGTGCCATTGACTGGTACCAAGGCGTGCAGCCCCTGAAGAGACATGCCGAAACAAAAGGATCAAATAGGGTGAAGCTCCACAGAGAATTTGCAAAACTTTTGGATGTGGAGTTGCAGATGAGAGGAGTTATGACTCAATCTGTGGCTGCGGGTGAAGTATTTGGTAAATGGGTAGGTTTAAAATATGAGGAAAAGGATTCCAAAATTGTCTGGCCTCCGATGGTTGTCATCACGAATACTAGACTTGAAAAGGATGAAAGTGGAAAGTGGATTGGTATGGGAACCGAGGAGCTTGCTGAATACTTCGGATCTTATCCTTATTTGAAGACTCGACACTCGTATGGTCCGCAGGGACACTGTGGGATGAGCCTTTTGATTTTTGAGGCCTCGGCAATAGGCCATTTTGAGGCTGAGCTGCTGCACAAGAATTTTGCAATGCAAGGATTAGGCAGGGATACTTGGGATTGTGGTCCTATCTTGTTTCGTGCAGGTGGTATTCGACAGCTTTACGGTTACATGGCAATGAAACGAGACTTGGATATCTTCAACCAGCATACAGAGGAGAAATCTAAGCTGAAATTTGAGCTGAGATCTTACCAAGAGGTGGTCCTACACCCAATGAGGCAAATGAGTGCGGACAGCCAACAGGTTATTTGGTTGAAGGACAAACTTCCTATAGAACAGAGGCTTAGAAAAGATGCTGAACAGACTAATGAGATACTTCGTGACAAGCTCGAGAAGGTGCAGGAGGAAAATCGCATTTTAAAACGGAGGATAAAAATGCAGCTTGAGGAGAACAAGGAAGAGATGGATCTGCAAGAAGAATTTTACAAAGATATAATGTCTCGTACCCGAGATTGAAAATTTTATTCAAGTTTATTGCATTTACTTTCTATTTTGCTTTATTAGAACTCACAGTTTTCCCCCTTTCTATTAAAACCATAAACATATCTTAATATAGTATTTTAACTTTTGAAGTGTTTATGAGGTTGCTGGATATTTTATGTTATTTGGTTTTGTTTTGTGACATGGGTTTTAGCCTTGGTTACTAAGCATTCTATGGCTTCTTTACTTTTCTATATCTCGAAGCCAAATTATTAGATTGATAGAGTCATGATTTCATTTGCAATTGGGATTGGGTGCTTTGCTTGCTGCCCAAGTCTCCACAAAAATTAAAAGAAAGACTTAAGGTGCTCGTGGTAGAGCTGCAACTTCTGTGTCTTTGCTGGCTGGAGTTCTGTTAGAAAACAGAGGAAAACAGAGAGAACAGAGGATTTTGCTTTCCAATGGGATTGCTGCTGCCAGTTAAAAACTTGTATAGGATTTTTCGTATCAGAATCTAAATGTAAGTAGGTAATTGAGAGTTATTAATTTTAAGACTGAATGAATTTGACTTTCTTTTTTAAAATCTTCTTTTTAATCTTAAAATTAGGAAATGGAAACCTTAATCCAAATCCTCACTATTCCTTATTTGGGAATAGGAAACAAAAACATATGCAAGGTTTCTTTTTTTACCGTTGACCACATAGATTTGTGCTCCATGAAAATGAAATGTTTAAAGTGGGTAATCAATTATCGATATGGTCACTAATAATCTATCAACTTCAACAATCCCACCCAAATCAGTTGACCACATAGATTTCAATGACACTATTTTTCCTCACCACTCTTGGCGGCGAGCATTACCACCATATTAATCATATTAATGGACATTGAATTAGTTGAATTTTTTAGACTCGTGTAACAGGTAGACTAAATCACACTCGTCCAACACCAATTAACATGCTGCTAATGCTCACCACCATTTAAGAGTGTTCTTTATGGAAATATTTAATGTAATTCTTCCACAACTAAAAGCTTAAACAATTTGTGAAAATTTACATTCCATTGCCTAACCAAAATAAGTCCTTGACAAATGGATAACAGGCGTAAAAATGAACGCAAATACCTATTTTCTTTTGTGCAATTGTTTTTAGCCAAATCCTTTTTGTGCATTTAGAAAAATAAAATGAAACTGGAGGATGCAGCACAATCCAATTCAATGTATGGTCCATTTAAGTTCCGGAGAAGCTACGCATACATAACAAGAAGGAAAAAACAACAGCAAGGCCAAACACATGGAATTACTCAGCTCTAGTGATGGTATTTCATGTAACTTTAAATCTTAAAAAAAAATACTCGTATCAACAAATGTATAGAATCCATTTTTCCTATGAATATGAAGTTCAAATCAGTCAAAAAATGGCTAGAAAATGTACATTTCAGTGGGAGACCCTATACGACTTCCTGCAGGTGCTGGCTTAAAGTAGCATTTAGATGGACAGAAGATAAGGTACCTTCAAAATAATGTGTGGAGTACATGCATCATGGAAACTGGAATGAGCCCCCAATTTGATTATTCCCAGATGGCGGGTCGATAGCCACCCAAAGGAGAGATATGGTGATTGCTAGAAGACCAGACCACACAAACACAATCGTCGGTGTCCTCCCTCTTCTTCCCATAAGCCCTTTTGCAAAGGGATATAAATGAGCTAAGACCCAGAAGCTGAAAAAACCACCACCGAGCAAGCTGCTCCACTCTGGTGCAGCACTATATATTGTTCGACAAGTTGCAACTGCGATTCCGATCAAGTTAGTCATCATGATGGTAATTGGTGGTACCATCAGAGCAGTCCATTTGAAGACATAAAGATCAACAAAATCATCATCCCCATCATCACCTCCAGATTTTGATGTCAAAGTGAATGAAATCTCAATGCCTGCTATAACCTTTAGAAGACCTTGGAGCACCGCAGCAAGATGGGCACTTGTGCCCCCGATCAACCAAAACTGTTCATTTCTCCACCAATCTTCTAGTGCAATGCCAGACCACTTGATCTCAAGCACGGCAAGAAGAATAAGGGTCACTGTGATGCCCAAGAGGTATACCAGGAAGGTTAGGTTGAGGGACTGAACAATGAACTGACCAGTAAAGAGTGAGAGTGCAGGAAGGAAGCAGTAGACAATGAGGAAAATGGAAGTGAAAGGGTAGATTCCAACATTCAGGTAAGCAATCCTTTGCAAAAATTTCATCCTTGAGCTGGCCAGCAGAGCATTGTTGCGGGAAAAGAAAATCTCAACAGAGCCAGTGGCCCACCGGAGAACCTGATGAAGCCGATCTGTGAGATTGATTGGGGCAGTGCCACGGAATGCATCTCTTTTTGTTACACAATAAATAGATCTCCATCCGCGGTTGTGCATCCTATAGCCTGTGACCACATCTTCAGTTACAGATCCATAGATCCACCCAACTCGTTGGCCCCATTCAGTCTTATCCTCATACCAGCATGAGATTACACTGATTGCCTCCGCAACTGTTGATGCATCAAGAGGCTCCCGAGGAAGAGTCAGAGCACCCGGCGGACGTCCATGTTTAATGGATGGATGATCAGCAAGGGGCCGACCTTGGAATTCTGCCACACGGATTGAGTCAACAAGGAAGCTTGAGTTTCCAAACGTTTTAGGAATAAGAGCAAGACTCATTTCTTCCTCCTCCATGTCTACCAGTTCAATTGATTGGCTGTCTTGAGAGGCAACTTCAGGGGCAGAAGCCACCAAAGAAGTTTTCTTGGGATTGGTGAAGAAACCACCACAGAAACCATTACGCTCTTTCCTGCTAGGTGGATCGAAGCCATAAAGGGCAGTCCGACGAAAGAGGCATCCTGTTCCTACATATACTGGACCCTGAATCCCATCAAGGGCTCGCATGTTGACATCAAAGAAAACAGTGTTATGGTTTGCATAGCGATCAGATGGGTCAATTCCTTCAAACCTCTGCGGAAACTGCACGTAACAAATGTGTTCCCCACCATGGTCCATCATGAAGCACATGCCTTCTCTCAATGCCTGGGAGTAGTAGATGTAGTGATCACAGTCAAGGTTGAGAATGAAGGGGCCATTGGACATGACCGCTGAGGCACGAACCAGTGCATTCATGGCACCAGCTTTCTTGTTGTGATCATAGCCAGGCCGCTTTTCACGAGAAACATAAACTAGCATGGGAAGACGAATGTCAACCTCACTTAGATTCATGGAATTTGAATCCACTGCTGTGCCATTTAGTGGCTGATCACTGGGAGGTTTCACCATCACCTACACATGGTACAGATAAACTTGTTAACCAGCAAATTTTAATTCAATCTGAATGCATATCAGAGAAACTTGCTGAATTCTACAAAACCAATAGAACTTATATCTACCTGCATGATACTGGCATGATCGCCCCTAGAATGCTCAGGCGCAGAAACTGTCCAAGTGCCAGGCCAGTGGGTTGTATCAGCCATCCAAGTAGCTTTTGGGAGCTTTAAATTCTCCACTGGTTCGTCATTTGAATTCTCTCTCTGCTTTTTCATAGCCTTGATCTCCTCTCTAGCATTAAAGGCATCGGAACGTCTCCGGATTGAATCAGGAAGACTATTAATCCTTACCTTAAATTCATCATACTCACGCTTTACCTGCCTGCGATCCCTGACAAAATCTGAGCGCACTTTATTCTTATAAGGGTCTCTCTTCAGATTGAAGTAAGATTCTGGATTCCTTGGCTCAATATCGTGCTTCCGGCAGAAAGGGACCCACAAGTTGGCAAAACTTGCAGCTTCTGCCATGGCCTCAAAGGTCAAAAGTGCACCTCCATCATCAGAAACATAACAAGAAAGCTTCTCAACAGGGTAGTCAGCTGCAAGAATCGATAGAATGGTGTTTGCAGTGACAAGAGGTGGTTCTTTCTCTGGATCTGCTGTAGATACAAAAATATCTATGCCTGGGAGATCAGATTTTCCAGTGGGATTATTGGGACTCGGTGTTTCAAATTTCTCCTTCAAAACATCAACATCAGCAATGCGATTGATGGGGCAGAGCTTCGGAAGCTGATCCAGTAGCCAAGAGAAGGCAAACCAGAACTCACAAACTACAGACATAGCCCACAACCAGACTGCATCGTCATTAGGGTTTCTGACTCTCCATTGCAAAAATAATCCAAGGACCACCATTCGAACAAGTACTAGGAGCCTGAGATTATATCCAACAAAAATTAAAGAGTGTAAGCTTATAAAGCAAGCAGTACTAACTAAGCTTATATGCAATAAATTCTGTGGGTTCACAAATAACGATGAAAGGAAAATCTCCAAAAATACCACTTTGAAACAAGTAGCAAAAAGAGTGGCAAGAAATAAGCAGTGCAGAAAAACAGAGAGGATCAAACAGTTTTACCGATATGGACTGAGAATTGCAGCAGAGATATTCAACGTGCGCGTAAGTGGCTTCCATTGCTTATGTTGAAACACATTAGGATCACCACTAATTCCATCATCACTTCCATTGGCAGTATCTTTTGGCCACATAGCATTTCCATAACCATAACTCCCCTTTGTCTCAAACAACCATTGGTTATGATCAAAGTCATTAGTCTGACTCTCCATCAATGCTGTTGACTTTGTAGATTTTGATTTCATCAACGATAACCTCCTCTCCATCTTTGACATCCCAGCTGTAGATGGCAGAGACAAAGGCTGCCGATTCGCCAAAGCATACTCGGTCATGTCCAGCTGCTGCTCCTTATACGGTTGTTTGCAGCCAGGACAAATACTCTCACCACTTGCTATAGCATCTCTATAACAATCCATACAAATCTTGTAATTGCATTCACAGGGAACTATATCTAACCCCCTCTCATCAGTCACAACCTTTGCATCACAACCCTCCACAGCACAATACGACCCTTGTGCTCCTGTCATCTGTGGATGGCTAGTTTCGGACTCAATCACCTTTTCCTTCAACTGGGCTCGTGTAACACAATTATAGCCACCTGTAAACAAAGAACTCGATGCATATTGGTCCTCCAACCTCTGAGAAGTCGACCGCTGCATCGAAATTCCGGTGGGCTGGTTGTCAGGT